AAAGAGGGAGGGAGAATCCCTGCCTCCCACAGCTAAACAAAACTGACTTTTCAATTCTCTGACATTTTAATATTATCAGTGTTACTATTACATTCCAATGATGAAGCAGAATGAAAGTTGACGGTGTATCTTTCCTGAACTCTCAAGCAGATCATAATCAGACATTATCTTTATGTACTGAACACCTACTACGTGTTCCTAGCTCAGCAGCCCAGAAACTAATTCAGATCAGCTTACCCCCATGGGATGAAGTCTGAGCCATGCATGATAAAGTTTGAATCAAACTCTGATTCAGAAGGAAGGAACAAGCAAGCCGCCTCAAAAGGAAGGAAAAGGGCACCGGCCCCCAGTCTGGGAGGGACAACGTCTCGACCTCTCCTCAAAGGAAGTCTTAAGTGTGGACCCAGGTGCTGCTGAGGGGGGCCTGGTAGGGCGGGGGAAGATAAAAGGCTTTCTGGAGGCCCTCTGACCCCAGCCATCCCACGGGAAATGAGTGAGGAGGCTGCTGGCTGGCAGACAAGCAGGTGTGCCCTTAAGAAGCCACGGAGATTAACCGGGGCTTATCCAAACCTCTGCAGGAGGCAAATCTCTCCTGGTTCTCTCAGGAGACCTCAGTGCTCCTCTGGCATCAAATAAGCCAGATGCAGAATGAACATAAACTTGGCCTTTTGTGAATCTAGGGCCCCAGATTGGGGATCTGGACACCAACATACTCACCAGGGCCTTAGAGGGAATACATTTTTAGAGAGCAAATTTTAAAAAAGGAAAAAGAGGGAGAAAAATGACTTCAAGGCAGGATCACAGATAGATGAAGCTTCACTTATGTGTGAATCTTTGTCTTTGGAGCAATTGTCTGCCACCCATATTAGACCAAAAACTGCTTTTGTCTCTAGAAAACATGACTTCTGGAAAAAAATGTGTGATATTTGCTCTTTAGTAAAGGTAAAAAAAAAAAAACAAACAGAAGACTCAAAGGTTGAGAGCTCTCTTTCTCAGAAACTCCAAGGGAAGAAAGCAAATTAGCAACTTTAACAGTGAGAGGAGGCGGGGAAGGAGGTCCCCATGGGTGTAGAATATGTCAGCTTTGTACTGTGTCAAAGTATATGATGTGCAAGGAAGAGCAGATGCAGCAGATCAAATACGCATTGAAATTCTGATTCTTCTATGTATCTGCTGTGTGACTTTAAATCAGTCAACTAACCTCTCTGAGCATGAAACATGCATCCCACCCTAAGATGACCCCAGCAATGGCTCCTTCACAGAGCAGTCTGAGCATTAATAAGATAACTTATGTAAACACCTGGCATGGTAACTAGCACACAGAAGGCACTAAACAAAAGTTAGCCCCTTCTACTTTTTCCCCTCTTTCATGAATCCAATCATATATATATGATCTACATAAATAGGTATTATACATTACATAGCTACTATATATTATATTAAATGATGTATTACATATTTTATATATCTACAATGTATATTATATAATTGATATAATATATAATTGATATATATCATTTATATGTGATTGATATGTATCACTTATATAAGTCACAGATATCTATTATATATCTCATATATCATATGTCATAGATATTAATTATATATCATATACTATAGATTTATATAAAATATATAATACATATTATAGATAATATATATCCATAATATTTCATATATCTTTCTCATATAAAGCAAGAAATAAAATCCTTACTACTTTGAACTTGTAGAAACCCATTCTCATCAGGATAAGTCACTTGCCCAAACATTACATAGATGGAAAAAGCAGAGGTTAGAACACAGACCTCCCTTATGCCCTTGCTAGATCTTGCTGTTTAATTGGCACCACAAAGATGGCCTAATATCCAGTCTCAGAACCATCCAATAATGGCCACAGCAGAAGAGGGACACTGGAATCAGATACCAGTATATCACAGGCCACTTCTTACAGACGTGTCCATCAGGGAGATGGTAGTTGTAATTGTCTCTCAAAAATGGTGGAAACTGGCTCCCAAAACACGTGGGGCTTATAGAGTATGGGTGGGACTGGTAGGGGTGGTACTCAGTTTTTTTTTGAGACAGGTCTCACTCTATTGCCCAGTCTGGAGTACAGTGGCACAATCTCGGCTCACCACAAACTTCACCTCCCGGGTTCAAACAATTCTCCTGCCTCAGCCTCCTGAGTAGTGGGATTACAGGCACACGCCACCACTCCCAGCTAATTTTTTCGTATTTTTTAGTATAAATGGGGTTTGGCCATGATGGCCAGGCTGATCTCAAACTCGTGACCTCAAGTGATTGTCCCACCTCGTTCTTTCAAGTGCTGAGATTACAGATGTGAGTTATCGTGCCCAGTCTTAATAGTTTTAACTAGTAGTGTTACCAAGAGCTCTTTTATCTTTTAAACTGGCTGTGCCACATATATAAGTATAAGACAATTCACTCTGGAGAGGCTGAAAATGTGGAGCTGTCTCTAATTCAATAACAACAATAATAGTGATTTTCTTTTCTTTTCCAAGCCCTCTCTTCACAAGCACTCACGGCAAAAACAGGAATATAACTCTGAGGATTGATGCACGGCCTTCCCTTTAACTATCCCGATTATTTTTGTGGTAGGAAGTTTCTCTGAGAGGTCAGGTTGTAGTAAACCTTGTCTTTGTTCCCAGAAATAGTTGAATTTCTACTCCTGTTGGAATTGTCTTGTCATCAATATCTAACGTTTCACAATTTTAGAACTAGAAGGAATCATGTACAATGGTAATTTTCCCCTCTTGCTTTCTAAATGATGAAATTAAGGGAGACTCAGAGATTCAGAATAACTCACCAAAAGACAAGAAACAAACGTGGCCAGCTGTCCACCTTATGCTTTGCCCAGTTTCAGGGACCCATGTGTGGATAAAAGAAACAATCTTCTTTGGCAATCTTTATTTTCCCCACAGAGCTAAGTGTGCACAGAGCCATGCTAAAGGCACTTAAGTCCAAAAGAGCACAATTATTATGACAAATATGCAAATAGTTCATTAAACATTCTCAGGAAAAAAGTAAATAAAATGCCAAAAACCCCTTGAAAGCTTTGCAAACAGCATTGTCTTTTTAATTTAGAGCTTTCTTTGTGGATTGTCGAAGCACTTAAAATTTTTGAAACTGCTATAATTATTATTATTAAGCTAGCAAGTCACTAAAACTATAATATTTGGTTTATTTTCATTATATCTAATGAAGTTGTTTCATCCAACTAAAGTTAACTGAGCACTTATTATGTGCCAGGTAGATGATAAGTGCTTAGAATACAATAATGAAAAGCCACAGTCTCTCTGCTCAAGAAACTCAGTCTAGGGTAGGGTAAAACAGGTACTACACAATATAGATCAAAGACCCAAATGTAAGACCTAAAACTATAAAACTCTTAGAAGAGAATATAGGAGAAAATTTTCATGACACTTGATTTTACTTGAATGAATTCTTGGATATAACAGCAATACTACATGTAACAAAAGAAGAAATAGATAAACTGCATCAAAGTTAAAAGCTTTTGTGGACTAAAAGACAAAATTAACAAAGTAAAAAGACAATTCATCAGATGGAAGAGAACATTTGCAAATCATAGATCTGATAAAGGATCCAGAATATATAAAGCACTACTACAACTCAACAACAACCAAAAACAGACAAACTGATTCAAAAATGAATAAAGGACTTGAACAGATATTTCTCCAAAGATATGCAAGTAACCAACAAGCACAGAAAAAAATAGCATCACTAATTATTAAAGAAGGGCAAATCAAAACTGTGATGAGATACCACTTCACTCCTATGAGGATGGCTACCATTAAAAAAAAAAAAAAAAAAAAACAGAAACTAGTAAGTATTGATGAAGAGCTGGAAAAATTGAAATCCTTACTGGGATGTAAAATGGTGCCACTTCTATGGAAACTAGTGCAGTGGTACCTCTAAAAATTGAAAATATGATTACCACTTGATCTCTCAATTCCAGTTCTGAGTATGTACCAAAAGAAATTGAAAGCAGGGACTCAAACAGAGATCTGTAGCAGCATTATTCTTAGTAGCCAAAAAATGGAAGCAAACCAAGTGTCTTTGGATGGATGAATGAATACATAAAATGTGGCCTATACATACAATGGAATGTTATTCAGCCTTAAAGCAGAAGGAAGATGGGACACATGCTATAACATGGAGGAACCTAAAGGACATTATGCTAAGTGATACAAGTCAATCACAAAACAACAAATATTGTATGAATTCACTTATATGAAGTATCTAGAAGTCAAATTCCTACATACAGAATGTAGTAATGGTGGTTTCCAGAAGCTGAAGAGAGGGAGTGACAGATAAACATTTTTAATAGATACAGAATTTCAGTTTTGCAAGATGAAGAGTTTTGTGGATGGTTAGTGGCAATGCTAGCACAATGGTGTTAATCGGCTTACAACTACTGTAGGTACACTTAAAAACTGCTAGATGGAAATTTCTATGTTATGTATTTTTTTAACCAAAATTAAAAGGAACATACAAGCACTACAATCACCATTATTAGTAAACTCACCAAATGGCAGCATAGGTCTCCAGGGACTATATTAGGTGGAATCCCTATAGAAATCCACTCATAAAGAAATCTTCAGATTCTACTAAAAGTATAATATGATATACTAAGAGTAGAAGAAAAGAAGTTTTGTTGAAAAAAGCTGGTAAACTGCAGAGCCCTATCTAGTCTTTTTTGGTGACCATAAAGCTCACTAGAACTTTATAAAACCAATAATGCTAAATTTTTCCATTAGCAAAAATCATTTTAAATGCCATTTCCATTTCTATAGAATATACACATTAGGACAGACAAACATTAGTTTTTGCCATTGACTGATGAGAGGCTATGCTTCATCGTATATGGCAGGGGCATGGGTACACTCTTCCAGGCATGGAAATCTTTGTTGTCGTTTGGTACATGTTAAAAAGAAATGTTAAACTCGCTGGTAAGGACTTACCGGTTGTACGTCCTCAAGGAGACGCTCTAGATCTCAGTTCCTCTTAGTAGTGAAAGTTTTCCGGAATGTGATCATCTTGGAAAGAGGTGAACAACTGGAAGTGTAACACCAGGATCTTCACTGAGAATGAATATAAGAAAGATCAATTATCTAAGATGCAGGTAAAATAATTTCCCATAACACCCCAACATTCATAAATGTCATCCAATCTATCAGTGCCCTCAAAAAGCCACACCTTTACTCATAGCATTTAACAAACTCTCCTTTTATGTCTTCTCTTTGCTGGATGCTGTGCTAGGTTAGGAATATGCATAAACAAGACACAATCCCTGGATTTAATAACCTTACATCCTAGAGTATGATGAAGCACCAAGAATCAACGACAACGTCATTATATGGGATATATTTTGGTTTCGTCTGCATAAGCTAAAGAAAGCACACACGTCTCACCTCATACCACTTTCCAACAAGACAGCGAAGCCCACAGAAACAAAAAGTGAATCAAGTAATGCCACTTGATTCATTTTGTTCAATGAGGTTACTCTCTTAAATCCACATTCTCTGATGCCCAGGGTCCCCCTCAGGAGATGCCCAATCTCTGTCTGAACTTGGTTGGAGCCAGAAACCAAGACTGAGATTATAGTCTCCCATTCTCATTGAAGCTCATGAGGCTCCCAAATAGGAAACACTCCCTGTCCCTTGGCCACAGAATAGGCAGTCATTTGATCAGAAAGGCCCAGCCAGCTAGTGCAAATGGCAAATCCATCAGCACCATTATCCAAACGGTAAGGTTGGCAGTATTGTCTTCACGAATTAAAAATGACACATCACAACAATTACATGGCTCCGATAGTCATCACTGTCTGACATGCTGGTTCAGCCTAATTCCCAGACTGTTTCAGACACCCAAACAAATTAACACATTTCCTAATGAGACAAAATTGTGTTGCTCTGTGTGTGTGTGTGTGTGTGTGTGTGTGTGTGTGTGTGTAAACCTCCATACAAACACATCATCATCAATTAAGTATTTATCAGAGTTCCGCTGACCTGCGACAAGCATCAGCAATTGGCCCTTGGAACACTGGTGTTGGCTATTTTTAAAAGCCAGCTTCTAGCCTCGGTCAATGGAACATGTTAAACCTCAATGAACAGCTCTCACTATCTTTTGTACTGGATCCATACTCCAGGCTGAATGAAGCTTTTAGAACCAGCAAGAACCAGATGGCCCTCCAAGATCATTTTGAATGTTTGGATCTGAGTCATTTGTATGCGGAAGCCTTCACAAAATAGCAATCTGGGGAACATGCTCCAGGCTGAGTCCAGCTTTCCAGACAGCCCATCTTTGCCTACAATTGAGAAGACAAGCACAATATTGTAGGGTTCCACAAAAATATTGCAGCGTATATCTATATGTGTAGCACCAAATACATGGAGTGTCCCAGTCAGGCTGTCACTACAATGGTAGTTCGCCACCACTCTTCCTCCTCACTCTCCCTAATTATTTTTCTTTTTTCTATTGTACCCACAGTTTCTCTTCTAGCACAGGCATAAAGCCAGCTTTGTGAATCAGCCAGCAGAGGGTACTACAATACTGGTGCAATAATCCAAATCACAGCAAATTTACAGCTGAAAAAGATTTAAACTAATTAAAAAGGGCTTCACCATTATTACGTGCTTGGAGCTTTTAGCCAGAAAGACGAGGGCAGTGGGATGGAAGAGATGGAACCAAAACTGGTAGACAGGGACTGCTCATCAGAAGAAGAGGGAAAGCAGGAGTGTAGGTTCAGTATCACTAGTCCAGGGGTGAGGGAAACCTAGATTCAAAAATGAGAAAGAATCAGAACTAAGGGGTCAGCCACTTCTACTTGGGGGTCAACCACTTCTATTCACCCTAGAGAAACTTTTTTAAATACCTGTAAGTGAACATTTATAACAGTTCTATTTATAATCACCCCAAACTGGGAACAACCCAAATGTCTTTTAATCAGTGAATGAAGAAACCAAGTGTGGTATATCCATACAATGGAATACTACTCAGTGATAAAAAAGAGGAGATTATTAATACATAGAGTAACAGGGGTGAATCTCAAAGACATTATGTTTAGTAGTAGAAGCCATTGTTGAAAAGAAAGTTACATGCCTATGATTCCATTTAGATGACATTCTCAACAGATCAGCAGTTTCCAGAGATTGGGGCTGAGGAGAAGGTATAACTATGAAGAAATACCATGAAAGAATTCTTTGGAGTCATGGAACTGTTTTGTATTTTGTTATTGGTGGTGATTACATCAATCTACACGTGTTAAATTTATAGAACTGTAAACCAAAAAAATTAATGTCAGTGTTTCAACTGAATGTAAAATTCTTTCATTAATGGTATGTTAAATTTAAAAAAGAAAATTTTGAAAAGAAAAAAATACATTAAAAAAAGATGGAATCTGAGGGCTGAATGGTATAAGCAGACAAAGAGCAAAGCCAATTTGTTGTCTCATCAAGAATGTGCAGAGGAGGTAAATTATGAGAAGACAGAGTTGAGTTGAGACTTGGAGGACAGGCTAACAGGAAATTGATGAGAATATCAGGTTCCTCACACTCAATTTGTTATTGTGAACAGTGTTGTTTCATTGACTACCAACCAGCAGCTTCAGCTGAAGGGACCAAAGAAGCCACCTGGCCCCACATGGTAGTGATGGAGCAAGAAAGTCACTAGTCAGAGTTGGTGCAGGACCAGAATCTGCCCACCCTTAGGAGCCAACATCTACGATGGTGTAGAACAGAATCAAGTTAATTCTGGTAGCCATCATCCACGACAGCAGACAGCCTCAGTGTAATTCTTCACCTCACTCGCTGGTAGGGATAGGCTCATTATCTTTGGTCAGGGGTTTAGTTGAGAGAGGAAGTGACCAACAAAAGCTAGATAAATCTAATCTAACCCTCTCATTTACAGATGAGGAACCTGGGAGAGCAGAGTAGTGTGAGTCCTCCAAATTGCACAGCTTCTGAATGCCCATTGGGGTTCTGTATACTGACCCGGGACCAGGGACCAGGGATGGTATTTCTTCTCATCTGTCCTAGGTAGGTGAGATTGTGTTTTACATTTAAAAGATAGCGAAACGAACAAAGGTGACTCCACAGTGTGCCTTTAGAATCCATGGAAAAATATACTACCTTCCATAAAACTCTTGTGGTTCTTTTCTCAAATGAATTGCTTGTGAATTCCTGTGTCTGATTCTTATATCAGCCTTCTCTTCTTCAAGCTATTCAATCCAGTGATTAGACTGCTGATTGCAAATAGTCCAGGAGTTCTTATCTATCAAATTGCCTTTTAAGCCTACCTATGTTTTTTGTTTCCGCCTAACTCGCACATGGCAAATGTGGTGCTCTTAGATTAAATGGTATGTGAAAAAAGTCCTGGTTGAGAAGTTGAGACACAGGTTTTGCTCCAGATTTACTGATAACTGCATGTGAGATTTTAGGTAAGTCTCTTTCTTCCTCGGGGCCTTAAGTTCCTCCTCTATAAAGTGAGCCAGTTATATTTGAAGTTCTTTAAGGTACTTTCTAGTCTTGCAATGTTTCATTTCTGTATTTAGTCTTAAATGTAAATGATAAATACTGAAACTAATGCACAAAAGAACTGATAATTTTCAGTTTAATTAAAAAAATATGTACTTACAGTCTAATTTCAGGCTATATACTAGCCTTGAGGGATATTAAAATAATTAAGAAATAAACCCTACCTTAAAGGACATACAATCTTTTGGATTAGAACAAGAGTCTGGAGTCAAAGGGTATAGATTCAAGGACACTGCTCTACTTGGAATGACTCAGACCACTTATTTAACCTCTCTAAACCTATTTCTTCATCTATAAATTGTGAATAATAACAGCTCCTGCTGGGAGTGAAGAACAAATGGGAGTGTGTTAGTTTTTGTTATTAAGTCATTCATATTACTATCCTGCCCTCTTGAAACAGCAGTTTTCTTTGTTGCCCCATAACTTTTGGCAAATGATCTCCATTTGTAATCTCTCAAAGCTGAATAAGCTATTAAGACCTTCAGATGAAACTCAAGTTTCACTTCTCTAAGAAGACGTAACTGTCTGCTCCAGACAACACAGATCTCCCTTGCCTCTGGTTTTCTGTTGCCAATGTTTAGCATTTCAATGGTACTGTCCATTGCTTCACAATTGACCTGGGTATCTATGGTTTTAAGCTCTCCTGAACTCCAGTTCTTTATGTTATCAATTGCCTATAGTAACTTCAAATTCTGCCTGTATCAAGTAGAATCCACAATTATATCCAGAAACCCTACTCCTCTTCTTGGGCTTATTTCAGTTTATAGTATCTCGGTTACTTAAACTAAACACCTGTTTGTCATGTTTCCTTTTTATTACACCCTCATCCAATCCATCTTATGTAATTCCAACTCATGTGTCTCACAAATCCATTTTTTATCACCTCCATTGTCACAGCCTTACTTAAGTACCTCTTGGCTAAATTCAAGCAATAGTAGAGGGAAGGAATTGTCAGTATTGCCTAGCAAGCATTTTTCAAAATGCTTACCTTCCCATAACCCCGTATCACATCAGAAGTGTGGTTGAAGGAGAAGACAGAAGAGTGCAGGAAAAAACAGGCTTGGGTATTTTGCAAAAGTTTTTCAGGTTATTCTTATAGATTTTCCATTCCTGTTGAGAATCACTGTCTTAATCTTTCTCCTTCCAATCTTTCCGGTCCCTCCTGCCCAAGTTACTTTTCAAAACTTCCAGTTAATCAATAAAGGCTCCTCATTGTCTTTCTTCAGCCTGGCTTTCACATCCTGCTCCAGGCCACTCTCTTGACCTTGTTTTCTTCAATTGCTTCCATGCCTTTGCTAGTCCATTTGTATTTGCATAAAGAAATACACAAGGCTGGGTAATTTATTTAAAAAGAGAGAGAGAGATTTATTTGTCTCATAGTTCTGCAGGCTATAGAAGCATAGCAGCTGGGTGCTCATGCCTGTAATCCCAGCACTTTGGGAGGCCGAGGTGGGCGGATCACAAGGTCAAGAGATCAAGGCCATCCTGGCCAGCATGGTGAAACCCCATCTCTACTAAAAATACAAAAATTAGCTGGGTGTGGTGGT